TAAGAAGAAAATCTTTTAGATGGTTTTAAAAATCTTTGTATATAGACATGCAAGAATAAATCCTTGCATAATTATAAACGTGAAATTCTTTTCACATTGAAATGTTTGAAATACTCGCCAACATAGAAATGTAGTATTCAAGTACACATTTACATTTACACATACCCAGCGGCGGCGCTACAGGGGGGCACTTGCCCACCCAAATTTTTCTTGATCCCACCTCCCGAAAAAAAAATTATACATACATACATAGAGAAAATCCGATGTGTATAACAACAACAACAACAAAAAAACACGTTCGCACGGCACTACCATTTTACGGGATATTTTTTTCTTGTATGCTAGAAGTCAGCTAGACATATCCTACAATAATAGGTATTCCATTTAACCCTACTTTTTATAGTAATGGTACTACTGCATTAAATAATCATTTATGTAATTAAATAATGCTCGAAAGAACATTATTCATCAATCCACTTTTAAAAGAACTTGTTATCCCTCTCCCCCCAAAAATTGCTAGATATGTTAGAATGGTCAAAACCTTTTGATCCTTCCCAAGATTTTTGAGTACTTTAGGGCTTAAAAAGTCAAGACAGAGTACTTTTTGAAACCCTACGTTGGCTCACTGTAATTGAGTACACTAACATTTGGGGAGAATAACGAGTCCTTTTAGAATTACGGGTGAGTATAAGAGGTTTTGTTTTGCCTCCCAAAATTTTGGCTTGCCCCCAAATCTTACCGCTGGTCCACCAGGGGACATGTTAGACTAATCGTAAAACCGTTTAACAAAGAGTTTAATACACAATTAAATAAACCATTTTAGTCACACCTTGATAAAATAATAAACTATTAAAGTACCAAACATTTTACCTTTCAATTATAATAAAATGAACACACACATACTGAAAGCACGAGGTTTTAATTTTTTTTATTAATGCTAAAATAAAAAATGCAAGAATGATAGAATAAAAAGCTCTAAACACTTCTCGTTCATGCACACTCACGTGAGCTAATGGGCAAGGGCATTTTACACACGCATAATGTACATCTCGCATGTGAATATTCCTATCACAATAAAATTAAACACTGGAATAACCAAATATATAAAAATTTATGATATCTAAGCCACTATATGTGAACTTTATTTACAACTGATAATTTCACCTACTCATGAATATTCCAATATCGAATTATCCTCTGCATACGAGAAACACCAGGTAAAACTGTATTATGAGAAATACTGCTTTACGTATGTGTTTATCAGCAGTACACCTATCTACCAGAACTTAAATTTTACTTTTAATTATGAGCATTTTCAGCACCTTGACCTGTTTGTTGAAAGTTTGTTTTTGAATTTCGCGCAAAGCTACACGAGGGCTATCTGCGCTAGCCGTCCCTAATTTAGCAGTGTAAGACTAAAGGGA